CGCTAGGGTTGGTAAATATTCTTTTAAAAGGCATTTTAAATTAATAAATTTCAAAATAAAACGACTAATCGACTAATGATCCTAATTGTTTGTCCTGATTGAACAATCTATTTATTCACTGGGTAATTGGCATGAACGTATGTTTATTTCAGTTAATTTTTTACAATACAGTATTCTGTTTGAATTTTTCATTCATGCTCATTTTTATAGTTCATATATTATTATAGGCAAAGATAAAACAGTTAAGTACCACTCTTTCTTTATTTGTCATCCGATTTTCTTTTTTAATTTAAATATCTATTGAAGAACTGTAGGTAGAGTTACCACCAAAATATTTTAGGACCTTGTCAGTTTTTTTTCTCAAAAAGTCTACGTCAAGATAAAACACAATATAAAAAAAAATCTAAAATCTTAAAGTATCCGTGATAATGGTCGATATTCGATCATTGGGCGATCACTAGTTATCTTAAACTGATAAATGTCTGCCCCGAGAAAAAGTTTATCGTAGGTATTCATAACTTTTATTCTATGAAATGTCCTTGTTCTTTGTAATATGACCTTGCTGGTCTATTAGATTGTCACCTTGTCTATTACGTGCTTTGTACAGAAGGTACGATTCCCCATCTTAATTAGTTTCTTCGTTAAATAGATTTGAAATTCGGCTCTATACTTGATATTATATTTCTTGCAGTTTAAAATGGTAGGTCAGCTTATGTAGGTTGTTATTGATTCTGAAATATATTATGTATTAGTGATTTTATTCTGAAATCTGGCACGCGTCATTGTAGTGAGATAAAATAAAACCTACATAAGTCTTAATCTTATTTTATAAATATTTCCAGTTTACATTCCATTTCTGCTAAAGTTTTATGTTTTATACTGTATAAGATGATTGTGCCGGTACTGGCAGATCTAATGTGTACAATTCGTCGGTGTTGTAATGTATAATGAACACATATTGCGTTATCATCATAATATAGATATTGATTGACCTTCTGGCCTAAATATAATACGTAGGTAAAATGTATTTTAGCCCATACTATTTTTATCTTCAAACTTGTGTAACGTTTTCATTACTAACAGAAACAGATTAATTTGGTTCCTCTTTCTGTGTGGAATGTCAAATAAAGATATTTAGTAATTAAAGTGAGATTTTATGTAAATGTTCTGCTTAATTTGCCACAACTTAACGTTTCCACTTTTCATAAATTTCTCTAGTGTCTGAGAAAGAAATATGTTTTATTAAGAAAAGAAAAGAATTATGTTTACTTTATTTGGTGTACCTATTTGGTTTAATATATAATATTTATTTATATATTAGCGCAATACTAAACACCAGCAAAATCTCTGTGAAAACACGATCGGATTTTTAGTTACAAAATGGGAAGAGTGGGTGCGTAGAGATAACTTATCGTCACCTTTCTCACAAACCCGCATTGTAACGTGCAGTCGGCGTAGTTAGGAGTCGTTATATGCATATTTTCTTTGGTATCTGAAAATTACATTCACAATTTTATTTAAAAAAAAAGTAATACAATAATTTATCAGCGGGTTAATCATATTTTTGCTTTTTTGGTCTTTGGATAGTATATACCTTTTTGATAAAAAAATAATAGTCGCCATCTTTTGCATTGGCGTACGGGCAGATTTTTTTTGGTAGTAAAAGCGTTTTGGAAATCCACATGGATAGATACTCATAGAAATCCTCTGCCTATTTCTGTGGCAAAGCAGTAATGCGTCCCGCCTTCAAGGATGAAATAATCGTTATATCACACAGTTGAAACGTAGACCTCATGTCTCAAGGCTCCAACAACGCCAGGTAGGTCGGAGCTATTTCATAGATCTATGCCAAAATGCCCTTGACCTCCGTTTAAGAGTTGACTGAGTGTACATTAAAAATTCATCGGAGTCTTCGGAAGAAAGTTGCAATAGCGTATTGTTATGGCGCTACAGAATAAACAAGTCTAGTATGTTAATCAATTTAATTCTCATTTACATTTTGAACTAGAATGTCTCAAATTTATAGCGATATTGTGTTTGTGGTGAAGAATTACGATTTTTGTTAAAATAAACTTTCCCATTCAGAAATGAATTTTAATAATTTTACTAATAAACTTTAACAAATTATGTGTCATAATCGTTAAAGAATCGACTCAAGGCAATGGCAAGAAAAATAATATACTATTTCCATTATGTTTGAAAGAGCCTTGAAAGACACATACATGACTGTAGAGCTATTTGTCTCAACGTCTTCTCGGCTAAGACGAATTATTCTTTCAACCTTTATTTTTATATCTGGAAAGACGGACATGAAAAATCTTATTGAATTAATATTATTAATAGCTCCAGAGGTTCATCAACCGTATGCCCTTAGCTACAGGTCGTACGTCTATACTAATATTATAAAGAGGAAAGATTTGTTTGTTTGTTTGTTTCGAATAGGCTCCGAAACTACTGGACCGATTTGAAAAATTCTTTTTCCATTAGAAGCCGACATTGTCCCTGATGAACATAGGCTACTTTTTTTATTTTATTTTTTATTTTTTTTGTTTGTTTCATGTGTGTTTTAATGTTTCCGAAGCGAAGCGAGGGCGGGTCGCTAGTCAGAAAATAACTCAAGTGATTCACATTGAAGTGATTTGGAAACAACTAGGGGCTATTATACGATGCCTATGTGAAAGGATTAACTATGAATGAAAATTATACTGGGAGCGTCTTTTTGTTTTTTACCACCTAATCGACGGTAGCCTAAGGTGCTCTTTCAGCTACGCTCGGGAGGGTAGGTGAACTCATGGGCTCGACCTGAGAGAATTGCTAACACTGGTCCTTGCAAGAGCAGTGCTTTGTTGAATTTACCATCGGGTCGAAATAACGATTCTTTTTTATTTTTTTTGCTTAGTTGTGTGGACGAGCTTACGGCCCAGGTTGGGTGGGTGTAAGTAGTTACCGGAGCTCTTAGACATCCACAACGTAAATGCCGCCACCCACCTTGAGGTATGAGTTCTTAGGTCTCAGTTTTTATAGTACAACGGCTGCCTCACCCGTCAAACCAAAACGTATTACTGTTTCACGGCAGAAATAGGCGGGGCGGTGGTATCCACCCGTGTGGACTTACCAGACGTCCTACCACCACTAATTACGCAAATTATAATTTTAACTCACTGAGAAGATCCAGCGAGAGAGATCCGATTAACTTGTTGTATTGTAAGTCCACTCGCGTAGGTACCACCAACCTGTCAATTTTTTCCGCGAAGCATTCAGTTCTAGTTTGAAGGATTGGACAGGCGTCATACAGAGACTTTGACCTCTTATCCAAAAGTGGGTGGTCGTATGTACGCTGTGATATCTATGGGCTTTGCAAACACCTTATTACCAGGTAGGATGTGAGCTCGTTTATTCATGTACACATTTTTTTTTTAAAAGAGTCGGTCAAATGCTTTCACGACTCTTTAGATTATTCGCATTAAGATACTCGAATTTTAAATGTTTCTCTTATTAGGAAATTAATTTTGTTTTTTTGTTTCTTCTATGATATGAATTAGTTAGATATATTTTGCTGTTTCTAGTTTTAGAGGTTTTATGTTCGACTATATATTTTTTTGAATGCTCACCGATTTTACCGTCATTTGTAAATCTATTTAGAATTTTTTTTTTGTCTTTGAGAGAATGTACACTTTAAGCTGTCCCAAAATTGAGTTATTTTAATTATTTTACTCTTAAAGTCGAGTCTCAGCTTTGATAATTATATTTTTTGGCCTCATCAGTCGTTACTTCAATGCTTTACTATTTTGAAGGATACAAAATTTATTGTTATATTAGTAACGTTATTAACATCATATTTTTAATTCTTGTTATATTAGTAACGTTATTATCATCATATTCTTCTATCAGTCTTGCTCTGCCGTACGTATTTAGTGACGAAGCCGGCAACTACTTAAAATTTAACGTATCATAAAATTCAGTAATCGTGGGCTCTCTAGTTTCTTAAGAGAGATTGAACGTACATATGTAGTTGATGAATCAACGGGAAGTAAGTACTATTTAATGCTGGAGAAAACGGGATTAGTAATAGATATTTTTCAACGCGTACTACGATTTGAATCCAACGTTACTCGTGTTTAATAATAATTTATAATTAGTTGTCGCCCAGTGATCGAAATTAGACCATAATTCATTCTAAATTATAAGCTTGAACATTATTATAGTTCTATTGTCACATTTCTATGATCATCATTTTTTATTTATTATTGCATAGATGTGTGGACGAACTCACAGTCCACCTGGTGTTAAGTGGTTACAGTTTACATATATAACGTAAATGCCGCCAAAGACCTTGAGATATGTGTTCTAAGGTCTCAGTATAGTTACAACGGCTGCCCCACCCTTCGAACCGAAACGCATTACTGCTTCACGGCTGAAATAGCCCGAGTGGTGGTACTTACCTACCCATGCGGACACACAAAAGGTCCTACCACCAGTAATTACGCAAATTATAATTTTGCGGGTTTGATGTTTATTACACGATGTTATTCCTTCACCGGGAAGTCAATCGTGAAACATTTGTCAAGTACGTATTTCATTAGAAAAATTGGTATCCGTCTGGGGGATTCGAACACCGTTGCATCGTTAGTTACGAATGCACCAGACGTCTTTCATAACCTTTACGCCACGGCGCGGCGTCGATGTTCTGTATTTTATTAATATTAAAGACCAACATTATTCTCAATTTGACCACAGACTTTAAAAATAAAGAAAAGAGTATAAATGTATGTGTGTCTGTCAAATACATGGTAGTGTGTGTAATGTTTTTATTATTATTGATTTAATCTATTTTTACGCGTAATTAAAAAAAAAAATGCATTCTGCACTCTTTCTCTATATTCTGTATAAATGTAGGAAATTTCATACTCCGTCCGCGCAATTTTCGTAAAAAGGTATACAAATTTTATGCTTCACATATTAATGTGTAGATAATATATAGATAAATGTATTGTCAACAGGTACGGGCACATTCGGTCGTGTATGCTTGTGTCGCGACAAAGCCGCTGACGAGTATTTGGCGATGAAAATATTGTCCATGGCCGACGTTATTCGTCTCAAGCAAGTCGACCACGTCATGAACGAGAAGAATATACTGGCGGAGATCAATCATCCTTTCATAGTCAACTTGTAAGTACAAGAGTACGTAGCTATGTCCGTCGTCGGATGTAATTACTTCAAAGTTTTGGTGACCATCCAACACGTCTGGACCGAAACAACATGTCCAAAGAATATATTATTATTATTTTCGTCGGATCATAACAAAGCTGTTTACTGAGTGAAATGGCGCGGCGTTTAGATGTTTTAATTAAAAGTGTCCGAGCGCATGTGACGTTTGAGGCACGACAAAGAGTACTCGTGGTAGGCGCCACGCCAATGTTTTTAAGAAATCGTTACGCTAATCCATCATCAGGGTGGAGTCCAAGAAAACCGATTTATTACGTTTGTTACGGATAAACTAGACTCAATTTAAAACTAGTATTACAATTATTACTCATACGTTTGACAAAGAATCACCTTTTTTTTAAAGGAGTTCTTGAAGGCACGGTTTTCGTAACCACGATAACTGCGCATTCGGGATGTCGTAAATAATATAATATAACATACATATAGAAAGCGAAAACAATAAACCGTAAAAGTAGTTTTAATTACAGTCATACGAAATTTGATAACAAAATAAAATATTATGCTTGTACTGATAAAACATCAAAACGACGACTTCTTTAATTCAAATGTCAAAAGAATTCAAATATGTCCAAGTAGTCGTGTTCTTTTGTTTGAAGGGTGAGACAACTGCTATCCAACGTAATTGAGACTTCAACAGTACGTCTCAAGGTGGGTGGGAATTCACGTAGTGAATCACCTTGAACCCATAGACCGCCTTATGTCTATGGGTTCCGTTAAACAATTAGCACCAGGTGGGCCGTAAGCTAATTCACCCGTCTAAGCAATAAAAACATTTTATTTTTTGCGAGTACTGTTTTAATTTCACTCGGCATGAGCTAAATTGTTTTTCGGTATCTGCTAACATAAATAGCTTCCGTGTTAGTTTCAGTTGACCCAGCAACCTGTAAAGCGGTTGTAAGCCCCTGTTCTTCATTTCAATGAATTTGTTTAACATTCGTTTCCTTGTCATTGTTTGGATATAAGTAAAGTTGGCGACCATTTCGAACAGGCGTCATTCGGTGCGCCCAAAACTTTGACTCAAATGAGGTGTTGATAATCTCGTCTGTCACTGTTATCGACTGGGATAATTAATTGACTGGCTACTTACGTATTTATTTTATAATTAATGCATCGTAAAATCATTTTCTTATTATTATTTTTCTCGCAAGCGATAATTATTCAATGACATCTGTGGGCCAGACAGAACGTTAGTAGACATTCGTATTCTTAAAATACTTTTCTTTCTAATTTAAAATCTTCATGTCATCATTAAAATTTATTCTATCGCCATAATAAATTTTCTAATAAAATCGCGATATCAGAGGTATTATTAACGCGGGGTGTTATTGGTCCGAGTTCGTAAAAAATAAATTCGTCTTGATGTATAAGTCAGGGGCTTGGCTATGGGATTGCTGATGTCCATGATCGACAGTGACCGCTTATAGTTAGATGGGCTCTATGCTTACCTGTCTGCAAAGTGGTTTTCCAATGATCTAAATTCGACTAAACCTCAAAAATTAGATGAGATTTTTTTTATTGCTTTTACGGGTGGATGATCTCACAGCCCACCTGGCGTTAAGTGGTTACTGGAGCCCATGGACATCTACAACGTAAATGCGCCACCCACCTTGAGATATAAGTTCTAAGATCTCAGTATAGTTACGACGGCTGCCCCACCCTTCAAACCGAAACGCAAAAAACATTTAAACATGTCATGGATTAGATTATTTCTTTTGCATGATAGGTGATATTTTGAAAAAAAATCTTTACCTATTTCCACAATTTCCAACACTGAGACACATCAATAGTTACAAAGGAAAATAAAAGAAAAAGAAATTTGTGTGACAAACAGGGGATAAAATCGTTTTTAAGTATTTCATACGATTTAAATAATATTTTCTCGTTGTTGAAGTGGTTAGTGAAACTGACTACTGGACCACGTTATCCAGATTCAATACCTGTTTAGAGTCTTTATTTTTACGTGCTTCTTGTTATTTTGTCTGTGTTTTTTTGGCCTCCATAATACAAGAGAAAATACTTAGCTCAGGACCGTTAGTTGTGGAATTTTTATTTATATTTTTGTCTCCGCAAATCATGTTTTCTCAGAAGCTCTGGCTTTATTAATGGCGATTGTTGTTAAGATGTGTTTATTACAGGCGCTGGTGGACGCACGATGACTCGTGCATTTACATGCTGTTTGACTACGTGTGTGGCGGTGAACTTTTCTCTTACCTGAGAAACGCGGGCAGATTCAGCAACACTATCGGTAATTACATCTATATCTATACTAATATTGTGAAGCTGAAGAGTTTGTTTGTTTGAGCGCGCTAATCTCAGGAGCTACTGGTCCGATTTGAAAAATTCTTTCAGTGTTAGATAGTCCGTTTATTGAGGAAGGCTATATAAAATCACGCTAAGACCAATACAAGTGGAGCACCAATAAAGAATGTTTCAAAATAGTTTTTTTCCCTTTTGAGAGCTTCCGCTGTGTGCGCTGCAGAAACGGTTAAAGTTTCGTTAAAATAATGTATGACAGAGTTTGTTCCCCTTTAAAAGATCTAAAAAAAGTCCGCCACAGCATGTTCATATGTTAAGGTTGACTCACTATAACGTTTTTTATGCTAACCAAATTTGTTCTAAAATAAAGTATTATTTGTGAACTATTCCACGCGGACGAAGTCGCGGGCAAAAGCTAGTTTTCATTATAAATTTGAACCATTACAGCAGCGTCCTCAAAATAATTCGAATTAAAAACCGTATCAAAATTGTAATTGATGTAAATAAATAACTGGTATACAATTAAATATATAGAATTTGGAAGTGTGCCAACATTAAACAGACGTTCGAAGCAGCATCGCACGATTTGTGCGCACGATGCGATGCTCCGCAATCACCCACGGTGTCCACTTTTTCACGATTTTATCACGCTTTTCTAAACACAGAAAAAATCATGTCAATTTAACTCCTTTGAATTGCAAATACGTCAAATAAAAATGTTTATTTCTTCAAAGCAGTGACTTCTGAGCAGAGCTACTTTTAAGTATTTTTTTTAAATTTCATATTGAATTAATACCAACGTCCCCCACTAAAATATAAATGAATACTGAACTGCAATGGACACTGTCACAATAAATATAATGTATCTAGAATAATAAAGTGAGATATAGTTTTACGCTACTCAACGAACTTATAGAATTGCTTAGATTTCAAATATTAATAATTTAATATTCATATTTCATGTTTAAAAACAAAACGCTAGTAAATGAAAGTGGTGATCTCAAATTTTATTACCTAAGCAATATCAACATTTCTAATTGAAATTTCAAATCTACAAATAAACTAAACAAATGGTATATGTACTCTTTGTGCGTTTGCAAGTTCTCCCAAAATAGACGCGGTTCATCGGCTTACAATTGCGTTGACTGGTTTCACGTTAAGTTCGATAATTACGTTTTAGTCCGACTCAAATACTAGATGTTTGTTTGGATCGTGGTTTTCGACGCACCGGTTGAGTTATTAGATTCTCAAATCGCAGTTCGTACTAAAAATGAGAGCGATCGGCCGTAGTCGTTGCCAGACGACGTGACGCCGTTCGTTCGTGCACTCTACGTGCTTATAATTAGTGAAACCTTATTCAATTTAGGTTACTCTGTATGTATATATAGCTTTACAACTGGGTCATACCTTGAGTTCGTTCAGAATCAAAACGAAAACATGCGTGTTGCGTAACCTAAATTGATGAGGGTATAAGTCTAGTGTGTAATGTCATAGTGGACATTCAAATTTAGATTGAATTCACATACACACATACACAAATACACATGATTGGTTTTTTTTTTTCTTATTAAAACACCAATTAGATATGCAGGTTAGTTACTATCTTAAACTTAGAAAATATATTTTTTTTAATTAAATGCCCATTTTTTTGCTAATTTACATATCGCTTATCCGTAACGCAAAAATTAGGGGTTCGATCGCTTCACTCGCTCAAGTTCCGTGGTGTGGACCCGGCAAGCTCCGTGCTTGTGGGAGACCAATAGCCCCGCGTTTCAACTGGTACTTTATTAGTCGAATTTAATCTTTCGATTGCTATTTCTTTTTCATTATCGTGCCAAGAATCTTCAACACTATAGTTAATCTCTGCTTCCGGCAGCAATTCGACTTGTACTTTACGCCGATTAATATGTGAATGCTCTGTTTGATTTAAAACGCTTTACAGTTCCTTACCATGATCGTATAATATGAGTTATATCGATTAAATATTTTTGAAGTACTGAATTTTAATTCTTTGTCACTGTCTCTTTTCATTTTTATACATTCACAATCATTTTGGAAACATCTTACAGAGCAAGTGCGCAGATGAGTTAAATAGTTATTTTAATTTGTTGTTTGTATTTAAACAGTAAGACTTTATCCACGGCTTCTTATATAATATACCTACTATACAATACTTATAATAAAACTAATAGACACAATACACACGAAACCCCTTTTCAGTAATAAGGTGATACATTGTAACGGTGTTTGAAACTGCTATTTAATAATTAAACATTGTTTACATAATAGTATAAATTATGAAGTCATGAAGTAATTATAGAACTAATTGAAGAGTTAAGGAAGCTGTCTAGTTGAAGGAAGGAAAGGATTGGAAGAAGTCGTGTGTCAGAAAGCAAAACAAACAAACGGTCTTGGAAAAGATAATTTAAAAATGTCTAGTGGAGTAAAATCAAATTTGTTTTATACGAAAAAGGAGGGCACAGAAAAAATAATTGTCGAGAAAAGTTTTAATATTGAATAACCTTTTAATAAGCAGAATGACCGAGTTTATTCTAAAAAGTTCTCAATTAGTTAGTAGTACTCTAACTAAATTATGCTTAACGTTGGCATTATGCGGTGTCAGTGACGTGGGCTGTTAGATATTATTAAATGAATAATCTTCAGCCAAAATATCTCATGATTCGATTCTTGACGAAGCGTTTAACAATACCGTGTGTCTTATTCGTCCTTTCAGCAGGATTTCACTTAATGTATAAATGTCGAACGACACAGGCGTGCTTCAAAAAGACGTTTTTTAATTAATCAATGCCGAAACCTGGTCGTCGTCCAATCCGATCTTCGTTTGATTATGTTGTATGATATTTTTAGAGAGTACAGCAAGCTGCAAGCGCTGAGATAACTTACCAGTCCGTAAAACATTTCATAATATTAACAGGGAGGTTTATTTTTATGGTGAAAGTGTGTGTTTCAATCGATAACTACCCACATTTCAAACAACTGATGAAATGATTTTTTTTAATTCTATATTTTCAATGTATAATCGACGAACACTACAGTAATAAACATATTTTATGCAAAATAAAATAAAACGATGCGTTCTTACGTTCATGACAAAAATTAATATGTCATAAAAATTGATACTACGAGTATGTCACATTATATCGTGACATTATTTTAGTACGATCAGTTACCCGAATGTTTAAAATTTACTTAAATTTATCTAATGTACAGCCGAGCCCAAAGGGCATTTACCTCAGAGCCTATAAAAAATAGTGTCTATTCTAGTCTAGTTGTAACTCATGTCTGGCGTGGAGTTACAGACAGCGCACAGGACTCTTGCGCGTGAACATCGCCAACACTAATAATATAGTGCGGTGACGCTCAAACTACAGCTGGCATTGACTTTAGAAATGTAAAAATAAACGTGATTTCTCTAATCTCCTGCACACGGACAGTTTCTGTTCAGAGCATTGCGCAACGTACGATATGGCCGTACTGGAAATATTTACTTGATGCCTTGGTTTCTAGATCTATGTATATAACTTTAGATTGTATATATCGCGCATACAGAGCTATAATTGTCACTTATGCGATTCTCGTTAAAACGGAACTGAGTTTGAGAAAGTCCATTTTTTTTTAATAGTTATTAGTGAGATGTTTGTTTTTAATAATAACGTTTAAAGTTGCAGTTTAAATATTATCATTTTATTTCTTTAGTCGAGAAGTACTATAATAATTGTATTAAGATGTTGAAATTTCAACGCTTCTCCTGAAAAATTACATAATTTGGATAAGTGATGTTATAGCATCGTATGTGCGTTATGTTACCTATTAAACAATTGTGTAACCAGTACATAGTGTATCGAGGATAGTATAGAGTGAAAATTATTGTAAAAGTGAAATTTCCACATCATAATTTTCACAAAACACATTAAATGTTCAACAAAACGTTTTCTTTTTGGTATTTGGACGTTTTACAATTTATTATATTATAATTCAGAATTTTACGTTTCGTTAATAAGTTTAGGCATTTTAATTTAGAATAAGAAAAAAACAATCTAATTTATGGATCTTTGTAGCAAGGTCACGAATAATTTTAATATTAAAATATACTAATGATTAAAGCTGAAAGCTAGAAACCGACAAAGGAACACTTTCTCTGGACTATAGATCTAGATATTATATATCTATTCGGATATAATTTTTCGTATTCGTAAAATTTCGTTAAATTGTAGTCGTTTGAATAAATTTAAATAAAATCATTCAAGTATTGTTGATTCTAAATCTATTCCGGTTTGAAATAAAGCAAACATATTTGAATTAAGTATTATACTATACTATAATTGTAAATGCAAAAGTTTGTACGTTGGGATATTTGTTACCCAAACAAAGTTTATATAACCTGGATTAACATATGTAGGATTGGTGAGAACGAAACATATGAAAAGAGTGTGGAATGGATCGTTAATATGTGAGTGAGAGAAAACGGAAAGAAAGGGAAAAGAGAATGACAGAGAAAAAGGAAGATGGCGAAGACGGTTAAAAAATTTGTAAGGCGTTATAAAAGTGTTAATTTTTTTTTTATTATTATTTTAACAGAAGATTTTGGAACAGTTTAAATTTTATTTTATGCGCTGCGATCTCTATTCTACATAGATGAACATTAGTAATTTAATATAGTAAATGGCATGATACAGACAACTCTGAGTATATCTGCTATAATAATACAGTAACAACAGTGTACCCGCTGGTTTTAATTTTACGTACCAACGGATCTACAAATTGAGTGGCTGTTTATGGATCAGAGAATGACAAGCTTTAACCCGAAAAAATGCAACGTATTTCATTCTTTCCGAATTACAAATTTAGCGCGGCTTGATAACTCATCATCATTGATCAGCTTTTTTCCAGTATTTAGTTAAGGATAGTAAGCGATCATCAAATTATTTGAAACTAGCGCCCCGCCCCGGCTCCGCTCGGGTCTTTAACAAAAATTTCAACGTTCTTTCGTTTTTTTTAAATAAAAGAACACTTATTGCGGTATAACTATAATAGTTAAACATATGCTGTCGCGACACTTTTTGTGAATAATAATGGGTTCTACAAAGTCGTAGTACATTATTTTATTCTATCATTAATAGTTTTCGCAGGGCACGCGATTTAAAGAATATTTTAGGTATCTTTTTACACCTTGGGTTACATTATTGGAGTTCTAGTAATGATCTCTAATTTAAAAATTATAGCCTATATTACTCGGGAATAGTGTAGCTTCCAAACAGTAAAAGAATTTTTCAAATCGGTTCAGTTGTTTCGGAGTCTATTCAATACAAACAAACAAACAAATCTTTCCTCTATATAATATTAGTATAGATTATATAAAATATAAACGTTGCATTATACATATTATTATATTTCTTATTCACTTGTTTTCTTGATTACGTTCAAGTTCGTTGTTACCCGTGAACTGGATAAGGGTATTTGATGAATAATATTTATTAGCTATGCTGATGGTACATAAATAGCTGGTACGCACATCGGTCTTCTCAATTTTCTTTTATGGCGCCGAATCCTGAACGATAAAACGAAATATTAATTAACACATCGAAATCTTAAAGCTTAGATTAGTGTAAGGCAAAATATAAAAAGAAGTGAGCATATTACAGCTAATTTATTACAAGTTTTCATACCTATTTGATAAAAGAAGGTGGTTGATGATCAAAATACCAACATTTTGGTAGAAAAGCTTAGAATAGTACGATTAGTAGAATATTAAAACGCATTTTTGTTATTATTAAAAATCGATTTCGAGCAAAAAAATAATATTAATTGAATTCATTAGAAAGCTTCCAAGGAGTCACCTTTAATTGAATTATTGTAACGAGATTTTACTCCGACGAATTAAACTAAAGCGTCGATAAAAAATATTGACACTGAATTGTTATATAATTTACAATGGTCCCATTTCAATTTAGTCCAGTTGTGATAATGGTATCCACGAGAAAACCATTTAAGTCTTAAATTTGCATTAAGTACGTGCGCGACAAATAGATGAATTACTCAATAACACAATATCACACCAACCGCTTTCGATGGTGTATATTAATTAGTTTTGGAATATCTTTTTTTTTTCTATTTGAAGTCTGTTTTTGTTAAAACATGTCTATTTACAATCATAACTGTATTGTAATAACAATGTTACCATTCAAACTATAGTGCGGTAACACATGACAGCATTTGTGGCTTTAGAATCCTTCGAACGAAGAACATAAATTATTAACCTGAATTTTTTTTGCACAGGAAATTTTTACGCAGCGGAGATTGTCTCGGCGCTAGAATACTTACACGCGAGGAACATAGTTTACCGGGATCTGAAACCAGAGAATTTACTGTTAGCCAAAGAGGGCCACCTGAAAATCACAGATTTCGGTTTCGCGAAGAAACTAACCGATCGCACATGGACTTTGTGTGGGACACCCGAATATCTGGCGCCGGAGATCATACAAAGCAAGGGACATAACAAGGCCGTCGACTGGTGGGCTTTGGGTGAGTTAATCTTTATTTATCAGAGAGGAAAAGGTCATTGACATTAGGCAGAGATAGAGGAGAACACAGCTAATTATTTTTTATTTATTTATTACACTTCATGTAAAATTTACATTGGCGGACTTAATGCCTAAGGCATTCTCTATCAGTCAACCAAAGGTAGTGCAGAGTAGACAGTGGTTGGTGCAATGAAATTTATATAGTATATACATACATACATAATAATATATAGATATATACATACATATAATAGTTTATATATAACTCATTATTAATCATTGATATTATACAGCTCTAACCAAATAGAGAATAATACTTTCACCGCTCTACATTTCATCAGTGAGTGATACATCTTCTACAATCTTTAAAAAGTAAATTAACCAATACGAGACAAGAAAATAAATTTTGGTTTTTGAATATTATGTATAAAATGAAGATAGCAATTATTTTCAATAAATATTTTCTTTAGTTTTACTCCAGACGTAGACATAATTAAATATACTTTTACGATTTAAATTTTCTCATTTTTTATGATTTAGATTTTCATTTAGATTTTTTCTGCTTTTTCGAATACTTTTTCGAGTTTTCATAGTAACCGACTTCATTAATATGAATTAAAATGAGAAAAAGCTATTCGTGATATTCGGTATTCATAATTAAAACTGCTAATAACAATTTTTTTCCTAGTTGTAGTTACTGGTGGTAGGACCTCTTGTGAGTCCGCGCGGGTAGGTACCACCGCCCTGCCTATTTCTGCCTTGAAACGGTAATGCGTTGCGGTTTGAAGGGCGGGGCAGCCGTTGTAACTATACTGAGACCTTAGAACTTATATCTCAAGGTGGGTGGCGCATTTACGTTGTAGATGTCTATGGGCTCCAGTAACCACTTAACACCAGGTGAGCTGTGAGCTCGTCCACCCATCTAAGCAATAAAAAAAAATTAGTAATATTATGTTCAACATACCAAATTATATTTCCTAAACGTTCAAATTCCAATCTTCACAAGATAACTAACATATGTGCATATTTTAGTTTCAAAAGTCCAATTCAAACAAACTGCCCAACTTCAAGGAACTATTCGTTCGTTCTGGGTTTTTTTTCCTGGCTAAGCTAATGACCTTGATAGACCATATCAGCGTCACCAGGCGAGATCGTTTTGTGTGAAATGAAACGTAAAAGCGATATATTTTATAGAAAAATATACGATAGTCCTCACAATATTCAAATGTCGACGAATAATATCTTAAATTTAGTCTCAGTCGTAGACCTCAGTGACCACAAAAATTGGGTGGTATTAGAAACGTCGGAAATATTATAATGACAAAAAAAAATCCGAGATTAAGCCGTAAAAATATAGTTTAATTATATTCGAGTACGACTTGCGAAGAAAATATTACATATAGTCTTAATTTCTTATTTCCCTAAATGTCCTGGTAGACAGTTACCGGAGATCACAGATAGGAGGTGAATAAAACCACCCATTTTATGAAGTTGAAGCTCTCGGCCTCATATCTCAAGTGACGCCTATCCTTAACTTCACGGGATGGATGTAATATGCTCTGCGTAAACCCTGTCCCGCTCTCTCAATAGCTCCGACTGGTTTCCCGCCCGGTCCGGAGTAGGGCGCCGGCTGTGAGCGGCAGGAGTTTTTAGTGAGGTTCGACTCCCACATACCTCACCTGCCGTGCGGGTGGCGATCCGGCAATTTTCTCCTGTGGAAAAAAAAATCCTTAACTTCAGAAATGCTTCGCGACAAATTATTAACATAATGCTACATTCTTCTTTCTTCTTTGCCGTATTACTCTTGTCAGAGCGGGCGTGGTCGTCAGTCAGTATCGTTGCAGTGTATAGATGTTATGTGCCTCTCGAGCAATCGCCACTTCTCTCGCTTTGTTTCGAGCCTGGTACACCTCTGGTGAAACTGGAAAGGCCTTCGGGCCACCAGTAATCCTTCAATCATAAAAAAAAGTCATGTAAATAACCATCAACTGCCGACGGGACTTGGTCGGTCCATCGCATCGGCTATCCTCCAATGTACATTTCTTCTTGTACAATAACTTAAATTAGTAATTAGATAAACTATTTATTATTCCCAATAGACCTTGTGGTGGTTGTATGCCATTAATTCGAAGAGATTATTACAATGTAATATACATTAAATTCGGATGTGGTATATTATGTAAATTAAAGCCAATCGGTTGATTTGCAGCCCGTAAAATACGCCTATGCATATTTGTTTGAAATCACCATCTACATAAAATCGTAAACGTATCATGTTTACGGCTAGACTCAAGTGTACAGAAAACATTGAAAGGGTATTTGAGAATTGACCTTGACTTCTGGCGAGGTCAAATGCGGAGAAATTGCGATTTCACGATGCTTCAAATTTAAATGACTTGTAAATATATGCAGGCTTATTATATATTTTATTAAATATGTAAATCAGTCTATTTGAGCGTGTTCTAGCATATTATGTATAATGGTTAAAAATATATCGAATAGAAATATATAATTAGATTCCAATATTAGATTTTGATTTTACCCCAGATTTGCAGACAGTATACACGTGTAGGCCTTCATTCAAATGAGTATTAGTTATTGAGAAAACATTTAAGAAAATACTAGTATGTTTTAATTCCTAATAGAATCTCTTAAACTATAAGTTTTAAAAAATACGTGTAAGATTTAATTACGGGCGAACGGTGAACCGCAAAACCACAAATACATAACATATTCCTCTGATCGCTTGTTTTTTTTTTACACCTGTTTCAACTTTATGACAGATGTGACAGCGTGGTATTGTAATAATAACTAGAGGTCCCGCAGTAGTCGAAATTCGACTATAATTAATTGGAATTGTAAGTTTGTACACTATTATGATTGTATTTTATAATTCTATAATCACAAATTTCGCCAAGACTACCCTATAGAAAATATTAAAAAAGCCAAATAATATTTAATCTTTTCTCAATTTGACAACAGACGTCAAGAATAAAAGTTTAACAATAAATAGTATACTTGCGTGTGTGCGTCAAGTACATGGTATGTAGTGTGTGTAATGTTTTCTTTATTTATTTAATGTATCTTTTATGCATTATTTAAAAAAATATTAGCATTGTGCACTTCTTCTCTATATTATCTATAAGCGTGGAAAATTTCATACTCCTCCGTCCGCGCAATTTTCGTAAAAAGGGATACAAAGTTTTTGCTTCACGTATTAATATATATTATATTATTGTTTAATACATCTAGAGACTCATGTTTCTAAGTTTCATTTAACACAGGGGTCGGCAACCTGTGGCTAGCGAGCCTCATGCGGCTCTTTAGTTCCATATGCAAATATTATTTATTTTATAAAGAAGAACATTTAAAAATTGTTTTGAATCGATTAACGAGGATTGGGCACCATTTCTATCTCTCAGCCCATTGTTGTAAGTAAATATTTAATTATTGTTTTTGTTTTTTACTTAAATAATAAGTGATTATCTAATAATACCATATACATATATCTTCTAATTTGTTGTAACAACCACTACTTATATAATAATAAATAGATATTTTTCTTATGAATAATTAGATTCGTTTGAATTTAAAAAAAAAAAAATATTACGCAAGTACTATTTATTGTTTGTAAGAATTTTTTTTGTGGCTCTTTAAAAAGTTTTAAATTTTGAAAATTGTAATTTTTGGCTTTTCCGACTCAAAAGGTTGTCGACTCCTGATTTAACATACCGGTGACTTTTTTAACATTTTTATTTACTAGAATATCGGACGTCTTATTCTTTAAGCAGTTCATATTTCGATATAAAAACTCAGGGTGTGTCTAAAATCGATTAAGACGTATAATCACTATAGTTAAGATAGGTAGCGGCTTGGGTGTGCCCCTGGCATTGCTGACGTCCAGAAGCGACGGTAACCATTCACCTCAAGGTGAGCTTGTTGTAAGCTCGTCTGTCTACAAGGGCAATAAGAAGAAAAAAAAACATTTAATTTCTAAACTGTTCTATTAAAAAATATTTAGGTAGTTAAAAGTAATTTCTTCATTTATTTGGAAATCAATTGTCATTTCTTATTTTTTCAGAAAAGTTAATCCAAACAGAGGGCCGTTAAATATGTTTAATGTTAAATAAATAAATATATTCATGCTAAATTATACCCAAAGCTTGAAGTTTTGATTAAATTACGTCAATCATGTTTATTGTTCGGTATGAGCCAAACATCGGGTCGTAATTCATTGAGGTGCATTTGTTTATTGTAACAAACCGTAGCGATTCAGTGTTGGCACCCGCTCTCATGACAACGTAAACAAAAGTATTTGATATAATATTAAATTATTTGATTACTTGAGAGCTTCTTTGTGTGTCGATTATTATTTGGTTAATTATTAACCTGAATAATTCTTTCGTAAAATAATAGGGCGATATTTTCAAGCAAGATCTCACGACAATCACATGCACTGAGAAGCAAAATGACTGTTACGAATTTGGTAAAAACGGCTTGGCTCGGTAGGCAGCGGCTTGGCTCTGCCCCCGGCATTGCTGTAGTCCATGGGCGACGGTAACCACTCACCATCAGGTGGGCCGTATGCTCGTCTGCCTACAAGGGTAATAAAAAAATTAAAAAAAACTTTGTGATACTTTCTTAATTTAACCAATGACGGTGCTAGGTGTGATAAATGGTAAATATACAAATAGAAGTCACATTTATGAAACCGAGGTCAATCAAGCGGTTATTTTATATATTAAATTTTGTACTTAGGTTTGGACGTCGCGAATTATATAGCATTATTATTATGTTCAAAATTACCTGTTTTTGACACTTTTTTGTCTAATTCCTGTTTTATGTACTGGTATGTCAATAAGTCATATTTTTACACATTATGGTATGTAATTATGCCGCCATGCAAACTCTGCTACCCGATTTTAAGAGTAGGATAACTGCTACTTCGTTAAATTAAAACATCAATCGCCCATGAGCGGCGTTGTTAACAACGTTAACGTGGTTTCGATGAGATAATCACCAGCTTACACCAATCGTTCGTCTGCCAATCTCGGCGAATAAAAATAAAATAAACACTGCATACCTTGAATGTTTCGCTATCAACAAATCACGAGAGCGAACTTATGACACGTGCAAAATAAAATAAACACTGCATACCTTCAATGTTACGCTATCAACAAATCACGAGAGTGAACTTATGACACGTGCAAAATTTAAAAAGGTCCGTGGTCGTTTTGGCACCGACGTTTTAGTAGTAGTTTTAGTAGCAAATTACCAGCTTCATTAGTTAATTAGTTGGAACTTGAGATTAGTGAACCAAAGTTATCCAATTAATGTAAATTTTATAGATTATTATACGTAATTTTTTTAGTAGATGGCTCACTATGCTGTCCCTAATGAAACCTTTTTAAACAGTTTCAATGAGGAATGTTACAATTTTCGCAATGTATCGTTTTGGCACCGACGTTTTAGTAGCTCGTAAAATTACCAGCTTCATTAGTTAATTAGTTGGAACTTGAGATTAGTGAACCAACGTTATCCAATTAATGTAAATTTTAAGGGTTATTATACGTAATTTTTTTAGATGATGGCTCACTATGCTGTTCTTAATGAAACCAGTTTCAATGAGGAATGTTACAATTTTCGCAATGTATCGTTTTGGCACCGACGTTTTAGTAGCTCGTAAAATTACCAGTTTCATTAGTTAATTAGCTGGAACTTGAGATTAGCGAACCAACGTTATCCAATTAATGTAAATTTTATTGGTTATTATATGTAATTTTTTTAGATGATGGCTCACTATGCTGTCCCTAATGAAACCTTTTTAAACAGTTTCAATGAGGAATGTTACAATTTTCGCAATGTATCGTTTTGGCACCGACGTTTTAGTAGCTCGTAAAATTACCAGTTTCATTAGTTAATTAGCTGGAACTTGAGATTAGCGAACCAACGTTATCCAATTAATGTAAATTTTATTGGTTATTATATGTAATTTTTTTAGATGATGGCTCACTATGCTGTCCCTAATGAAACCTTTTTAAACAGTTTCAATGAGGAATATTACAATTTTCGCACTGTATAATTTTTGTTTATTCAAAATAAAAATAAAAAGATCTCGCGCCGATTTTCCAATTTAAAATTGTAATTATCGATAAAGCGTTGTTATATATTGTTTCAATATGTGAAAATTTTAAACTATTTGCATAAATATTATATCATTTCAACGTAACCATGTCTTAAATACGAGAGTTTGTTTATTGTACCCGATAAGTTCAGAGGATTCTATGATTTATGTGATTCTACAGTCTGCCTATAATTACATATTAGGGAAATTGAACTACAATCTCTGCCACTGAAATGGAATTAGGAATTTAATGAAATACCTAGTATTAATAAAACAATTTTACAAATGTAACTAAAAATTAACTGTTTATCATCAAAGCAAGCTTGCACGAATCTATACTAATATTATAAAGAGGAAAGATTTGTTTGTTTGTTTGTTTCGAATAGGCTCCGAAACTACTGGACCGATTTGAAAAAATATTTTTCCATTAGAAGCCGACATTGTCCCTGATGAACAAAGGCTACTTTTTTAATTTTTTCTTTTTTTTTTCTTTTTTGCATTCATGTGTGTTTTAATGTTTTCGAAGCGAAGCGAGGGCGGGTCGCTAGTGATATATAAAGATGTGTGTTGTCATTTTAGGTGTTCTTATTTACGAGATGTTGGTCGGGTACCCACCTTTCTACGACGATAATCCCTTCGGAATATATGAGAAGATTCTAAATGGCCGCGTCGAATGGCCTCGGCATTTGGACCCTGTGGCCAAGGACATCATTAAGAAGCTCTTAGTACAAGACAGAACGAAAAGATTGGGCAATATGAAGGTATGTATTTAAAAACAAAGCTTAAAGATCTAATAAACAGCGTCGAAGTCAATTATAAATAGAATTAATTATTAGAAATTTTTTACTGGTGGTAGGACCTCATGTGAGTCCGCGCGGGTAGGTACCATGACCGTGCCTATATCTGTCATGAAGCAGTAATGCGTTTCGGTTTGAAGAGTGGGGCAGCCGTTGTAACTATACTGAAATCTTAGAACTTATATCTCAAGGTGGGTGGCGCATTTACGTTGTAGATGTCTATGGGTTCCAGTAACCACCTAACACCAGGTGGGCTGTGAGCTCGTCCACCCACATAAGCAATAAAAAAATAACCATAATTTATGTTAATTAGTTAATTAATTATTAAACGCAAATGATATTCATGAAGTACTAGCTGACCCGGCAAACTTCGTAGTGCCTCAGTCGATAAATAAAAGACCTAAACTCTTGTATAAAATAAACGTTTGTTTTAAACAAAAGGAATCCGTCCGACGGGGGACACATCGAAGGAAAAACAAAATTGTTATTTTATCTAAACCTTTAAAAGGTTTAAAGAGTTTAAATGGTTTAGAGAACTGGACTTCTACAAATAATTCAAGACCAAAATTAGCCAAATCGGTCCAGCCGTTCTCGAGTTTTAGCGAGACTAACGAACAGCGATTCATTTTTATATATACATATAGATGATTATGAAGTATAGCGAAAACTATATATACGACCACTCGAACACATTATGTTTTAAATTTGCGAGCAATAAATTGCAACGATTCGACGCAGAGCACGTTTTCTGTCACGTGTGCCAATGTTTAGAACAATCCACGAAAATTAGTACATCACATGTGGTCCGCGGTCAATGTGTGTGTGGGCTTCAGGGTGAATTAGCGACTTTCTTGCATATGGGACTTCGGTTCCCTCTGTATTTTGTACCGAATGTTCCATGGGGAGTGCTCTGAGGAATTGTTCGAGATGATACCGGCATCTCGTTTTTACCACCGCACCGCCCGCAACCGGAGTAGAGTTCATCCATACTACCTGGAGCCACTGCGGTCATCGACAGTGCGTTTCCAGAGGTCTTTTTTGCCACGTACCATCCGGCTATGGAATGAGCTCCCCTCCACGGTGTTTCCCGAGCGCTATAACATGTCCTTCTTTAAAAGAGGCTTGTGGAGAGTATTAAGCGGTAGGCAGCGGCTTGGCTCTGCCCCTGGCATTGCTGAAGTCCATGGGAGACGGTAACCACTCACCATCAGGTGGGCCGTATGCTCGTCTGCCTACAAGGGCAATAAAAAAACAAAAAAAAAACATATGTACACAATTATATTTTTATAATTATATTTTTGTATTTTTTTTTGTGTTATCCTTGACTTTAAAATACGTTGTATCTACGTTATATCATTGTATGAACACTATCAAAGACGCTTTAAGTAAATAGTAAAATAAATTTTGTGAGGAATTTCGAAAAGTCTACTCTGATATTGATTGGGAAGAACGACCGTCATATTGATATTAAAGTGTGAGATTGGATCAAACAGTTAATTGAAATGTATTAGCAAATTTCAGTGTTTAGGGCTCTTATTTAAAAAAAAATATATATTTTTTAAATATATATAAAAAATTCTATGTAAATAAAATAATATATTTGAAATGTAGTTTTGCTAGGTAGTCAGTATTAAAAAATGTAGGTATTTATTTTGCTAAATGTTCCAATTCAAATACTAAATAACCAAACCAAAAATTTACATAAAATATTATTAAGAAAACCGATAATGTGTATTTTCCATATGTTCACTAATCAAAAATACATATATATGTACCTACACCGTATAAAGAAAAGTAAATAATTTCATTTCTTCGAAAATGCCGTGTAATGCAAACTACCCGATTTAACTCAGTATGTAGTTTGCACAATATAAAATGTAAGCAAACACACATTAGGTGCATTTGTTTATTATTGTAGCACACTGGAAATAAATTAGCCTCGCGCTTGACCCGAATCCATACTGAAATTATGAAGGTCTATTTTGAAAACACTGAACTGTTAAACAATGTATTATTGACTTAAGGTTGTTTCTGTAACAGTGACTAATAAATTAAATATAACACGTCTTGATCAATTACGATGTGTTTTACTATAATTTTAAATCATTCAATTGTAACACACTAAATAATTGGCAGTAAGTAGGCGAATTTTATGTTAAAATTGTATGCCACATTTTGCTTTTATTTCATAAATCGTATCTTGGAGTGGTTTATAATGTTAAAACATTTTGAAGTCACCTCAACATCTTCCGACGTCTTATAAAAAGGAAAAAGACAAAGAAAAACAAACAACGTATTAATTTTAAGTTCCAAATTTTACTCACAATCGAATCAATCAATGTTATATCTTAAAAAGCATTTCTTTCGTTTGATCCTGAAGATAATACACAAAAGATATTTTATCTTTGAATTTGGCCGCGTTCCAGTTGTTTCCATATATAACGTCTAATCACATACAGCCGTTCTCAAAAAACGCACGATTTTTATGAAAATATTTTACATGAATGTTTTATTCAAGTTTTTGTTTAAGTAAGTTTTGATGGAGAAACTTGATGAAAAGTCACCCCTTGTTTTTAAGTTTCCTGAGTTGCAATCTCAATAATTTGGGAATTTTTTTTTTGTGACAGATGATCACCTTCCTAATCGTGTGACATATATGACGAGGTCCGGGTAATATTCCCGGACAGTCAGTGTAAAATATATTTTTGTAGTTATCTTTAATCTTGTCTGGTATATGCCGGAACTCATAGTATAGGTGAAAACCTTAGCTTGCTATCGCTCAATGCTAGACGGTATTTCAGTTATCTATTTAACACAAATCGTATTCATTCTGGGCTAGAAGAAAAATCAAAATCGCTTTTTGTATAAGTCCGAGATTGGTGGTAACTTTATAAATGACTTCTGCTCGTAACTTCGGCCGCGTGAACTACATACGTAATTTTAAACTACTATTGCATTACGATCTGTTTGTAGTACTTGTTACGGTTTTCCTTAGCAGGTCAAGCTGCTTAGATGATGTAATAATCGTTTATTTGCTAGCGATAGTTAAATAAACGCTTCGGTACATTCGATCGATTAATAAAACCGATCTAGTCGGTCACGTTGCATAATCTGCGCCGGACGTTCGTATTCGTAATTCGAAAACTAGTTTTAAGTAATCAAACATAGAACGGAAGTTGTAATATTACACGTGTTATTGCCAGTACTGTTTTGTATAGCTTATAAATACTTACTGAAGCCCATGTTTACAACACCTGGAAAAATGACGTCCAAGTCTTAATTGCATTAGAAAAACGAGTATCCCGATCGTCGACTTGTTTGGCGACAAAATTACAAAGAATTTATATTCTTATCTGTATGGAAATATTATCTATTTTCCGGGATACGTGAGGTACTAGGGAGTAGAAAAATTTAGCTAAAGGAAATTAGATGAATATCCTGCTATGGACGGGAATGATAGTGTTATAACTATTTCATCTGTTTAATAACCAGACAAAATATTAGGTAACGTTAATTGATTAGCAGAATAGAGTAATGTACTAGTATTTTTACCATACAATAAGTAGTATAAATAAAGTTTACTAACCCATCTATTTGTCAGCCTCTTTATTTATTTACAAGGAATTTTCGTGATGTCAGTTGAATTAAAAAAAGCGTTTTTGTGTGTTTGTTTTTCAAACATAAACAATATATATATATATTACTACTAAAACGATAGAAGTACTAAGTAAATCATTACTAATGCACAATAAAAACATCAGAAGCGAGTAGCATTTACGAGGCATTAAATTCTATGAGTAAAATTCATAGAAACGTCGAGATGTAATTGTTGTCCTATTTTCTAAACGAGATATGAGGTACATATTAAGAGAGGTGAGTTCGTCACGCTGCGAATGTATTTTTAACGGAGTGCTGCAGTTACGGAGAACCGGCCGTTTTCACTGAGCTTTTTAACGCTACGTCACATGTCGAGTCGCGAAGATGTTTAGAAAGCCATCATTCAAGTGGCGGCCGGGGACTTCAAACATTCACAGCGACTCCGGTCTGACTTATGCTTTGACGTAAACAAGCTGCGTTAGGGAAAGACACAGAAAACTTTGCGGGCACATCGATCGTATAATACAAACGATGATCGGGCACGATACTGTGGATAACAAATATTGTTTAATATGTAAACATTATCTAGGTATTTTAACTCACAGACACAGCCCACTGAGTTTCTCGCCGGATCTTCTCAGTAGGTCGCGTTTCCGATCCGGTGGTAGATTCTGCGAAGCACTGCTCTTGCTAGGGCCAGTGTTAGCAACACACCCGGTTTGAGCCCCGTGAGTTCACCTACACGTCAAGGAGAAGCTGATATAACCTCTCAAGGCTATCAGCATAGGTAGGAAAATTAGGTATTTTAGTTACATTTAAGGCACAACATTATAAGGTTGAAATTTGAACGATTCTCTTGTCAAACAGACAATTTAAGTTTTTTTTTATTTTATTGCTTAGATGTGTGGACGAGCTCACAGCCCACCTGGTGTTAAGTGGTTACTGGAGCCCATAGACATCTATAACGTAAATGCGCCACACACCTTGAGGTATAAGTTCTAAGGTCTCAGTATAGTTACAACGGCCGCCCCACCCTTCAAACCGAAACGCATTACTGCTTCACGGCAGAAACAGGAGGGGCGGTGGTACCTACCCGTGCGGACTCACAAGAGGTCCTACCACAAGTAATTACGCAAATTATAATTTTGCGGGTTTGATTTTTATTACACGATGTTATTCCTTCACTGTCGAAGTCAATCGTGAACATTTGTTAATTAAGTATTTCATTAGAAAAAATACTTTTTTATTCAGTTATCACATAGTACTGGTAAAACACACTTTTTAATTGAAGTTATGAAATGAAGGTTACGGTATTACGGTGTGATGATTTACAATGAATTATTGGGTAATCCATGGAGGACAAGCCGAAATTATAACAGCAGTGGCCTGTTTGGCAACGCCCAGTAATAATAAATAACTTCACAAATGCTCTTACGACTCTAAATCTAAGAATTTACTATTTCTAAGTGTCGAAAACGTGTAAGCCATAGAATGTAAATTAGCTTTAAATTTAGAAATATATTACTTTTTTTAAAGCATTAATGTTCTTAAATAGAAACAATTTGCATAAGTAATGTTCAATGCATCCGATTCTTTGCTATGTTATAAGTTTTAGCCGATTAAAAATCTATTATAAATGTAATTAATGCTAATATTTAATCGTCATGGCTTGAATAATTCAGATACAATTTTTTTCTATTTTAAGACAAATAGCTAAAACGAGGATAGCACTTTCAATACCCAGATCTTTTCGATTCTCAACGAAGACTAATGAAACATTTGCTCCGCTTTTTGTTTATTTATCACGGTCACCATTTAAAATGTTTTTCTTTCTTAATTTCAGTGTGGCACGGAAGACGTGAAACGACACAGATGGTTCAAGCATTTGGACTGGGCCGATGTCTATATGAAGAAACTGCAGGTAATTAAATATTTTTAATTATCTTTTTTTAATTTAGAGATATGATAAATTTAAGACGTAGTTCAATAATAAAAATGAAAATTTGCGGTATGACTCAACGGTAGGCAACGGCTTGGCTCTGACCCTGGCATTGCTGAAGTCCATGGGCGACAGTGACCACTCACCATCAGGTGGGCCGTATGCAAGGGCAATAAAAAAGAAGTGCTACGAATTATTAGTGATTTAATTCATTTCCATTCATTGTTCACAGCCGCCAATAATACCTTCTGTGTCATACGAAGGGGACACATCCAACTTTGACGAGTACCCGGAAACAGATTGGAAATCGGTCCGATCTCTCGACCCCGAAGAATTGAAATTATTCGCCAACTTTTGATCTTGGAGTTGGTGTAGCTTGTAGAAATTGTAATGAGTTAATCCGGTGGACATCATGTCATCGCTAACCACACTCGGTTGTACTCGCAGTGTTTGGAACGGTCAACGGTGTAGTGAAATGTGTGCTCGCTAATGTTTAAATAGTGATTCATTAAAACGTCCATTTTGTTAGTTTTCAGTGTTAAACTAGTCGCTTGTTCTACAACGTTTTTATTCGAAGATTCTGTCGCGTTTTTTGAGTTGAACTCTATTCTCATTTAGTGGTTAACTGAGTCCATAGACATTGCAATGTCATTCGTTTATAGACAGCCGTTATGTAATTCAGTCGAAACTTGGTCTCCAGATGGTTGGCGTTATTTACGTTGTGATGTCTATTAGCTCCAAGAATAATTTTACCAGGCAGGACGAAGGTTCGTTCATGTAACTACACATACTACAATAATGAAGTCAACATTTCAATTGTACCTATTATTCCACGGCGGTCTCGCTCTTCAAACCTGAAAAGATACGACTGCTCCGCGGCGAAAATAGATTTTTAAATATTTATATATTTTTATAAATCCATCTTTCGAGGCAGAAGATGGGCAGGGAAGCTTTTCTTACTCGTCCGGACTCACTATACGCTCTACTACCCGCATAAATACGCAATTGATCATTTTACCGGTTTGAATTTCATTACACGATATTATTTCTTCACCGTAGAAGACATTCGTGAACATTCATGTATCCCATTAGAAAAATTTGAATTTCAACACCGGCATACCAGCATCGCTCGATACGATCACACCGAAAATCTTATCTTCTAGGCTACGAAGATTGAAAGTACTTTGGGAGCACATTTTCTGCTATACCCAACGAGCTGCCTGAATCTTTATGGATAGTTCGCCTTCTTCTAACGCGAACGGCATAGATATATAGACAAGTTTTTCTTAAAGATATGGTATAATGTACGACTGGTTTTAATATTGTCGGGATATCTTACATTAATTAGTAATAAATTAAAACTTTAATATCACAAGCATCATAGAATTTAAATGTAAAATCTATATTATACAGCCGCGACTTAGAATTGAAAACAAACATATTAGTTGATTCAAAACGACAGTGTTCTAATCTGTATTAGAAATTTCCAAGAAAATTTTGTCTTACGTTTCTAATAAAAGTGTAAAAAATTTAAGTCCTTAACTTGTTGTTTCGGGTTAAAACAGATCCTCCTTTGTGACATAATAATGTAGATAATTATTATATTTCGAGGGGTGAAAGCCTTGTTTTGTTTAAGCGACATTTCGCTCAATATACGACATTTATCTTTGTGTGACTAAAGGTCAGTTTTATTTGGTATTAGCACCAACAGTTCAATGTTTTTAATTGAACTTCAGTTAAGATTACCCCATTCAAATAGCTGAAGGAGTTTTTTGTTAGGATATTTTTACTAAATTTTAAACTTTAAATGGCTCTCCTGTAGAGATGCAAAAAAATCGCTTAAGCCGAATAGCCTTTGAACACCCCTCGATTTTATTTTTATTTATGTTTCCCTGAATTATTTACTTTTCGGAGGTGTTGCATTTACCATGTCTGAATTTCATATATTGTTTATTTACCTTCTCTTGACAATAAATCTTCTTTGAGAACTGCTCTGTAGGTTTCCAAAATGCAATTTAGGTATTATCGACTTTATAGTCGTTGGTAAAGTTCATAATATTGTGTATTGAAATGGTTCGAGTCAAATCGGATTTGAGTTTGGTTTGAACGTAGTACATGTAACTTAATGTTATAAATGGCAAGCCAACAGTGACTCTATGACTATGTGTTAATAAATTTAGTCTTAAGAAAATGCGGGAATTTTATATAATATTATATGATTGGCATCAACTTATAATTTAAGTATCGTAATTTGTAACTGTATAGAATAATTAAATAATAATCGCGACTCTTCCTACAAATGTTAGTCGAGTCTAAGGTGAAAATAATTTTAGTGCCACAGGCACGCTTGTGATTTTCAAGTTTCTGTTTGTCTAGTGTTTAGTCTAACTACAATTAACTTAATATTATAAATTATTCTATTTTTAAGTAATCGATGCTATGTATATTAAATATTAGATATTTATTTATTTTTTCATTATATTGTAATGGTGTGGTAAATAGCGCCATCTAGTATCCTACGTGGGAATCATTTTACTTCTTATTTCACTGAAATTTCCGTCCCGCTTCTTATTGTAATCTATAAGCTGTAAATGAGTAGGATAGTCGAGTTTTTAAAAGCTACAATTTTTTTGAGATAGTTTTCAATGATTGCATTAATGTTAAAATCTACTGACTTTAGTTTTTTCACGTTTTTCACCGTTTACAGACAAGTTTCGTTATTTTCAATTTTTATATGACGAATAATAATCACTAATTGACTAACTTTCTCTATTTAATGGAAATAGTTGAAGTCTTATAGTATTAGTTTCTAAAAATATAGGCGTTGTGAAACGTAGTCCTTTAATTCATATATTTGCCATCTAAATTCTAGTTTATTACGGTCAACGTAATACTGTATAGATCTCATACATCATTTTATTAAATATATAAAAACACATCAAGAAAATATTTGCTCCTTTCATAAATTTAAGTATTGTGTGTAGTAGTTCTATAATTACCTATATTGTTAAGTTGTAATTTTGAATTCACGTATGTTTGTTTGTTTGCTGGCCATATTATTACTGTGATTCTGATATGTTGATTGATATCCCGGGTGCCAAGGAATCATTCTCGAATATAGAGTGATGCAATTTGTTCCTATCACAATAATATTCAAAGTCGAAATAAATAAATGTATCGTAATGTTACACAACCAAAATTGAGGAAGAGGTGCGCGGTACGCCTGCTTTGATATTACTGAAATTTCGATTTTGATAAAACACAGCAGGTTCAGTATATTGTTTTTCATTTACGCATTGACATTGTTATTGCTTCGGAGATGGCTAGCTGACACCGTCAAATCAAACAAAAACTGCAACCATAATTCAGACAGCTAAAATAAAATTATAATATTAAAAATTATCAGAGCGCTTAAATAAATAAATCACCTATTTAACATTGACCCTGCTTGCCTGTATGATACCGATTTGTTAACGTAACAGCGACGAAAGAAAGAATGTCATAAAACGTATTATGTATCTAACAGGGTTTTATAATGTATGTAAACATATAAAATTGTAAATACACATGATTAAATTTATTGTTGAATAAAATATTTCTTTGATTTCATTTTGTTGTGATTAGTTCGGGTGAGGCCAGTTAATGATGATAAAGCATGCTCTGAGCCCGGTAGGTTGAGTAGTATGAGTTTCGGTCATGACTTTACCCCAAGTATACGTATATCGTATATCGTTATATATACGTATAAAGTTCTTTGATCACATCTCCAGAAAAGAGGACTCGATGGAGAGACTGGGAGTCCAAGAACGGGTGGGAGGCAAGAGTTCACGCGATCGATCACCAACCCGCTGGACTGATCTAATAAAGAAGGTAACTGAGTCCATCATGGTCCAACGTACTCGAATCTTGAGACATGGAAGCGCATTGCTCGGAGGATGGTCCTCGGGAGAATGGGCGACCTAACGGGTGCTTCCGCATATGCATCGTCAGCGCAACCATGACCACTCTGACAAGTTTTTTACTAGTGGTAGGACCTCGCGTGAGTCCGCACGGGTAGGTACCACCACCCCGCCTATTTCTGACGTGAAGCAGTAACGCGTTTCGGTTTGAAGGGTGGGGCACCCATTGTAACTATACTTGAAACCTTAGAATTTACATCAACCGGTAACCATTTAACACCAGGTGGGCTGAGAGCTCGTCCAGTCTATCTATCATCTATATAAAATAATCGCAATAAAAAAAGTGTCCGACTGAGAATAAGAATACGTATATCAACTTAAAAAAGGACCTAGAATTGATCTAAAAACATACGCTTCCATCTATTTTCGTTGGTGACGCAAAAAGCAACTAAGAGATTCACCGGAAAATGGGCAGCATCGTTTTTTGAGTATTATACTAGTGGTCTGCTATCGCCAGCCGATATTTATTGGTGGTAATGTTCTAAAATGTATCAAAGAATTTTGTGACCGATGCACAGAAGGTCAATTATCTGCGTAATCAAAAATTTAGTTTATGGAAAATAGAAGAAAAAATTGAAAAAAGAATTTTGAAGCGTTACCTTTACCGATTGATTCATAGATGCAATAAAAACGAAATAACTGAAGCTCTTCAACATCTGAAGTCTTTTTTGTGGCATCGACTGTACATAAAATATGCATTATTCGAATGGCTGTTCTTTGTTGGAGTAGTAACATTAAGAGTAAGCATTTGGATCAATGACGTAAACCAGAAAGAATTGTTGTGCATTTGTTTATCTTGATGTACGCACGTAATGGAAACATCGTAGTACCTCGCGAAAGATTTATTATAAGTTTGTTGAACTTTTCACTTTCTTGTATCTACAATTCTAAATATATAATAGGTTGGGGAAAAAGTCTTTTCGCATGATAGTATGTATGAACTTGTAATAAAATCTCTTTGTATCTGGCTATGCTATTTGTATCTGGCTGGTTTTCGTATCGTTAAAAGTTTGAATTTTAAAGAAGATAATTCCAAATTCAAATTAGGAAAATGTGTGATCTTTATTTATTTTTCGTACTGTCAAGATGAGTGAATCTAATGAAGAAATTCGATACATTCTAAAATTTTACTACAAAAAAGGTAAAAATACAACGCAAGCCGCGAAAAAAATTTGCGATGTTTATGGACCTAGTGCAGTGTCTGTGAGAGTAGCACAAATTTGGATTAAGTATTTCAATCCGGAAATTTTGATGTCAAAGGTGCACGTCGCTCTGGTCGCCCTATTACGGATAAAATGGATGCCATTTTTGAAAAAGTGGAGCAAGATCGGCATATCAGTAGTTACGACGTAGCTGAAGAACTGGGAATTGACCACAAAACAGTTTTGGTGCATTTGAGAAAAACTGGGTACACAAAAAAGCTCGATATTTGGATACCTCACGAGCTCACTGAAAGAAACCTAATGAACCGTGTACTCATTTGTGATTCTTTATTACAACGTAATGAAACCGAAACATTTTTGAAGAAGCTGATAGCTGGTGATGAAAAGCGGATCACATACGACAAGAACGTGCGAAAAGGTCGTGGTCAAAGGCCGGTCAGGCTTCACAGACCCGGGTTAACTCGCAACAAGGTGATGCTGTGTGGGTGGGATTGGAAGGGCATTATTCATTATGAGCTGTTACCACCAGGCGATACCATCGATTCTATACTCTACTGTGAACAGCTAAGAAGTTGAGAGAAAGCGGCCAGAATTCATCAACAGAAGGGGTGTGGTTTTTCATCATGATAACGCTAGACCTCACACATATTTAGCCACTCAGCAAAAATTAAGAGAGCTTGGCTGGGAGATGTTAATGCATCCGCCGTATAGTTCTGACCTTACACCTTCAGATTTCCACCTGTTTCGGTCTGTTCAGAATTCTTTAGGCAGTGTCAGGTTAACGAGAGGACTGCCAAAACCAATTGTCGCGGTATTTTGATCACCTACAAGATGGCAAAAAGTTATCGAACAAAATGGTAACTACATACTTTAGTTAAATGTAAATAAAGTATATTAAAAGTGCGAAGAAACTTTTCTCCAACCTATTACGTATCGATTGTTGTGCAAGTAACACGATTCGTGTATAAATGACTTAGATCTGCATCTTTGATTTTATAGTATTTTCCTCCGTTTTGGCGGCTCGTTTTCATTATTTTAAAGACGTCTTTTTAACTTGAAAGTTTGCACACGTATCAGTATCAAATGACAATACAAAATTTTTATAAATCTAGTTTAATATCTTGAACAAGATAAACAGGGATTTTTTTATGTTTGACTTTCTAAAGCATGTTCTTTAGTTTACTAAATTATATTTTAACTGTTATAAAACAGAACAGAAATCTTTATAAACAGGTGACTACTATGCAACGTGCTCTATGACATCAATAATATAGTGGAAATTGGCAGTAATAAATCTCATACCAACTACGAAGTATGTACTTAAAATTGCCGTAGCCTAAAAGTGGTGTGTTTGTATCAAGCGGTACGACTATACCGCTGTTCATATCTATCTGGTGTTACACCTAAATGGGTCCAATATAAAAACTTATTGGACTTTTAAGCAACATTCTAATTAAAGAAATACATTTAATGAAAAGTAAAAGGTACTAGGTGTGTAATTAATAGCTTAAAAATAACAGTCAGCATGAATTTTTTATAACTATACAATTTCTCATTATATTTGTCTTATATTTTGATAAGTTTAAAAAAAACCCTACATGTTTTTATTTATTTTAAATTTAAAATAATTTTACAGTTTTTATTATAAACAACAATCTGCACTCTTTTTCAAACGAGACTCTATTTTTTTCTACGTCTCTGAAATTTTGGCATTTCAAAAATGTTCCTGCCCCTTAAATCATGCGGCCCTAGGCCCGGATCTCGGCGTAAATCCATCACTGACGACAGCACCTTTTCCCGGTGCTATCATTATTTCCTCATGCTTTTAGCAATATAATAACTGAGTCAGATATTTAGCTCTGTTATTGACATCTGTTAGCTGTGTCAGGCAAGCTGTATCAAGTGGTCAGGCGATCTCATCCGAGACACCAAAAACTACGTTTACGCATGGACAATTTCCATTAGCGTTAGCATCTGATTTAATCATTTTTGGTTCTTCGTGATAATTGATGACTATTGACTGCCACATCAGCTTGCTAATTCTGCGTCTTTTCTTATCTAGGATAGTTACGTTACTGATTATTTTAGTTATAGTATATTCAGCAACTTTGAACTGGTTGACTAAAATATAAATCGTTTTTCTTCTTCTTCTTGACCTTACCCCACGTTATGTGAGGTCAACGCACCGTGTTCTGACTAATATATATATGTCGGCTCACGTCAGGGATGGCTGAGCACTCGTAGTCGATTGAACTCAGTTTAGTCAATAAAATTTTTCAATAATAATTATTGAAACTCAACACACACAACTTTCACAATGACAGGGTAAACCGACAGTTCCGTTGCACATACCGACAGACCGACTGACTGACTGACAGAGACTCACTGACTGAGACGGACAGAATTACTGTCTGACACGGAATGCCACGACTCTGTCCACGTACCGCCATTTTATACTGTGGCGTTACGGAGTCTACCCTTCATTTTGTGATATTTATCAAAATAACATTTCATCATTTAAAATAATAATCAAAACCACAGTCTTAATATTACTAAAAGTCGTTATCCACGACACGGCCATTCTGACATGTCACACGTCCCTGTGTGACGCTCCTGCAAGGAAAACAACCTTCTGCAATATCTAACAGGTTTCGTCTCGGCCACTCCTGATACATTCACGATTGAGGATTGGGATTCGTTTCATTACAAACCATAACGTTAGCTTTCAACAAGATCTTTAACAGAC